AGATAGATAGATAGAAAGTTGTAAAGCCCAATGGAAATATATGAAGGAGCATAAATTGCTGTTCATAAATCATGAAAGATCATCTCCATCCATAGGTAAAGATTAAATAATAGCTCTTCGAGTTGTTTCTAAGGTTCATGGTATTGTTTTAGTAGCATCAATGGTCCACACTTTTAAGATACATTCAGAAGCTAATATTTATCCTCAGAAAATTAAATATATTACCACTCCATTGGGAATTAAAACTATCTAATAACATTATTCAAATAATTTTTCCATTAGGCATGGATGGGCAGAAGCTTTTGCAGGTATCAGAAGTTCACATATCAAATATATCTGCCCACATGCGTGAGTATTCCTGATCTTTAGGGTTTTGATGGAAAATCTGGGGAGGAATAATTGTGCTAGCTTTGGTTTTTCAGAAAAGCCTTTGGATATAATTAATTTTTATTTTTTAGATAGATAATCAGTTTAAGAATAAAGTATGCCTAAACTGTACCACTAAATGTTTTGCTATTAAAAATAAATAATTTTTTAAAAAAACAAAGATTAGTGGACTTTGTAAAAACTACAGTAGTCTTTTAGTTAAATTGAAGAATCTTTTCTTTTGGGGAGGGAAAAGAAATTGAAAACATTATTCTACAGTCAGTTGAATTAAAACTTTTTTAAAAATGTTCTTGTCTTATATTTATTTAACACTAAGAAATCCAAATTGTCTTAGATTTTTATAATCTAAACTCTTTAAGTACTTACATATGATATAATTGCAAAAAAATGGGAATTTTTTTTGTAAAAAATGCAAGTCAGTTTAATTTAAACCCAGAAAAATTGTTTTAGATATATAAATGTCTGTCAAGTTCTAAGGATACACATAGGCTATCTGTGCAGGGGATTTACTTGCCAGATTTATGGGAGATTTTCTTATGTTAAAAACACTCTTGGATTTTATCAGAAGCCATGTGATATACTGTGGACAGAACACAGACCTTGAGTATGGTAGGTTTGGTTTCAATTTCTGGCTCTAAAAATGTTTGTGGATACTAAAAAGAAACTTACAAGTTTTTTTGTTTTTTTTCTTTTTGGTACCAGGAATTGAACTCAGGCATGCACGGTGCCACTGAGCTAAATTCTTGGCCCAGACTAGCAAGTTTGACCAAGTGCAGAAAATGAATAAGCTTGGCCAGTGTTAGGCCAAAAGGACACTGAGAAGCAATAGCCAGGAAGAAGACAAAAGGGATTGGATACATGCTAGCAGCTTGGTAATTCAACCTCAGAAGTGGTAGTAATAGAGTTAAGATAGATATATGAATAAAGGAAAAGAAATATTATTTGAAGATTAGGGAAGGAAACCTTTCCTCTTTTTGTCCTGAAATTGTCTTATCTGTGTATGCTACAGTGGAATACTGTGGCTACTGTGGCTGTGTCCTCTTTTTTTTGTGTGTGTGTTTTTTGTTTTTGTTTCTGTTTTTGTTTTTTGGTACCAGGGTTCGAACTTGGGTCCTTGCGCTTGCACAGCAGGCAGCAAAACCACTGAGCTAAATCCCTGGGCCCTCTTTTTTTTTTTTTTTTAAGAGTAGGAAAGGTTTACTGGGGAATAGGAATAGCTTCCGAGGGGTCCGGAGTGGGTTATCCAGTGTCCTCTATTATTGAGCTCAAGGAAGAGATAGAATTCTTAACTATGTTGAAATTTCGGCTATATTATTATTTGCCCCAAGATCAAATTGCTTTAAAGCTATTTCCCGACCCAGGGAAGTCTGTATTCTCAAATTCTGAAAAGATTTTTAAAAATAAATTTTATTTTATTTTATCCCTTTCCCCTTCCAAGCCCCTCGATTTTGTAATCTCTACAGTAGACTTGTTGCTAGAATCAGGAGGATAGTGGTGAGATGTAGTTAGAATATATATATTTTTCTTTACTTTTGTACCTGGCTAAATTCAAATTGTCAAGCATATTTTTAATTCCAGACTTGAATTGGATGCAATAGACATTTAGGCAAAACTGAAACTTATTTAGAGATGTATTAATTGGGCAAATAATGTAGCTAAGAAATAGACAATAAATAAAATATAATCTGAGCATATCGGAATTGATGGTAGTGTATCTGCAATACATTGCCCTTACCACAGTCACATATTTTATGCATTTCCATCTGTCTTGATTCCTGGTTTCCCTTCTCCTGTCTGAGAAGTTATAAATGTTAAGGGCATTAAGAGAGGAAAAAATAATTTATTTGCCAAGCTTAATACTTTGTGGCTACTGTCTTCAGAACACATTTGGGAGGGCATAGTAGGTAACAGAATTATTCAGGTGTGAATGCTTAAAACAGCTCATGTTAAAATAGTAGCATAGAGGGCCAGGGATTTAGCTCAATGGTTCCGCCACCTGCCCGGCAAGCGAAGGACCCTGAGTTCGATCCCCGGTACCAAAATAGTAACATAGAGTTTTGTGTGAGCCTCAAGTAATTACCTGTTTTGGATAGATGTAATTTATTGTCTTTTGTTATTCTTATTTTGCTGTTATTTTTCTTTCCTTTGTAGGCCAGTTATGCCTGTAACATTAAATATGAACATGGCTATGCCTTCTTGGTGAGTAAGAATTTACTTGTTCATTAGGAACTTTTTAGTCTTTTATCAGAAGTACTTTTATTAATTTATTTAGGTATCAGGAATTGAACTCAGGGCCTCACACTTGCCAGGCAGATGCTGTACTACTGAGCTACATCCCTGGCCCTATCAGAAGTGCTTGTTTGGTTTTTGTTTTTTTTGGAATGGGGATCCAACTCAGGACCTTGCTCTTGCCAGGCTGCAGCAGCACCGCAGAGCTACATCTCTGGCCCCTGAAATGCTTTTATGCAAAGTTTTTGTTTAACTGGTTTGTTTTTCTTTCTTTTTTCTGTCTTCTTATTTTTTTTAGTTCAGGGTATGAACTGAGGGCCTTTCCACTGAGCCACATTGTGAGCTCTTTTTGTACCTTTTATTTTGAGTCAGAGTCTCTCTAAGTCAGAGTTGCCCAGGTTGGGCTCAAACTTGGAATTACCCGGCCTCATCTTCCCACAGCACTGGGATCACAAACGTGGGCCACCATGCCTGGCTTTGTTTAGCTATTTTCAAATTGCGAAGTTACATAATTAACTTTAAATTTAAACTTTCTTATTTAAGTTTTTATGCTTTAGAATGTTTGGGAAACATAAGGAGCTGTACAAACAGGTAAAGAAACAGGAAAGAATGAGTGACTAGAAGTATTGGAAAATCTCTTACGGCGCTGTAAGCCTTTATTGATTTCAGAAACTGAACATGTGAGTGATCCCATTGGTATACACCGATTAAGCCACAGCCTCTTCATCCTTCCAGCTTTTTGCCTTCCTAGAGAGCTGGCTAGTTTTTAAGGAAATCACTTTCCTTTTAGCTCTCTCAAGTTATTCTCACATTCCTTGTACACTTCATGTTTAGGAAATAGAGCAGGTTTCTTATTTCTCTGTGTAATTATCCATAATGTGAGCGTACAAGCTGACAGAAAAGTAGAAAGCCCTGAAAGAAGGCTTCCCTTAGTTTCTGGTGTGAGATGGGTACAATGCAAATAAAAAAGTTTTGTAGAATATGGATAGAGATCTGTGTAAGTACATATGTTTGAAGGTCTGAGGTAGTGTATGCAAGAGTAATATGGTACAGCAAAGTAACTGTTACATTAAATTGACAATAGAAGAGGAAATTAATAGCTGGAATTTATTAAAGAAACTTCTCAGGATTGTGGGTTGTGTAAGATCGAACTAAGTATTTTTGTACGCTACCTTCACCTTAAAATTATATGACATTGTGGCTTTTAAAAAAATTTTTCATTATTATTATTTTTTTGGTACTGGGGATCGCACTCGGGACCTTGCGCTTGTGAGGCAGGCGGTGGAACCACTGAGCTAAATCCCTGGCCCCCATTGTGGCTTTTTCACATTAGAATCCATATCTAGTTGGAGTGAAAGGAACATACAGAATGTCAGATTAATTGTAGTGCCTCTAGACATTTGAAGTTCATGTTCCTGGAAGTTTCTCTGATTAGTGCTTTTTATACAGACTACCATGAATTTACTCTTACCAAGAATAGTCTTAAAATCGAATGGTTTTCTTAAGATTTGTCATTACTTTCTAGGTTTAACATCATTGGGCTTTCTCCAGATTCTCAGGAGGATGAATCTGGAATTAAACGGGCAGCAGAAAATGGTAAGTTTAGAAAATTTTTACAAAGACAATTTCATTTGTAAATGCTTTTAATAGATTCGCTAGTTAACACTAATACTGATTAGATGTGGCACATTAGGTGATCTCAGTAGGTGGTGCTGGTTCCTTCCTGTCTGATCACTCTTAACGTGTACCGAATCAACATGGACTCACTTAACTATGGTCAGTGGAGATGAGGTGGATGAGGAGGAGTGGCATGCATGCATGCATTGATTGATTGATTGATTGATTGCCCCAGGGATTGAACTCAGGTCCTTGCGCTTGCGAGGCAGGCAGTGGAACCACTGAGCTAAATCCCCACCCCTAGGAGTGGCATTTATTAAGCTTCTGCTCTGTCAGATACATAAGAATTTTGCTTTTATTTATATAGGCAAATGGAGAAAATAGCACTAATAGGACTGCAAGGTTGAGCCCAGCCTAGGCTACATAGCAACTTATTGAGACCCTATCTCAACAAAAGTGGTCTGAGGTTGTAGTCCAGTGTGAAGGCCACATGTCCTAAACCCCCCAAACTGTAAATCACAAATTGTAATTTATTGAACTATATATATTTAACTATAATAATTTACTATTTAAAACGACACTTTTAGGTGCAAATACCCTCTGATTTATGGAAGAAATATAAAATGTACATGAGCCAAATTAACCATAAATTAATATAAGAATATCCATCTTTTGTTTTTTCTTTTGGTACCGGGGATTGAACTCTGGACCTTGCACTTTGAAGGCAGACACTGGAACCACTGAGCTAAATCCCCAGCCCATTTGTTGTTTTTTTAAATTTGTTTGTTTCTGGTACTGGGGATTGAACTCAGAACCTTGCACTTTTGAGGCAGGCACAGTGCCACTGAGTTAAATCCCCGGCCCCAAGAATATTCGTCTTTTGAAGAGAGAGAACTATTATTACAAAGTATAAGAAATTATTGAAATTTTGGGTTAAGCAGCACCTGCAAAATCTGAGAAACTTCATAATGAAAATACATTCTAATTTTGTATTTTGTGGAATGCCTCAAGTTTTTCATGCATTTCCATCCTGAACATGCTATGTGCTTTGGTGTTACTTTTTCCTATGTTAAATTGTGTTAATGGGCTTAATTCTGAAGGTATAAGATTAACTTTTTTTTTTTAGTAAAAGCTTTAATAGAGCAAGAGGTGAAGAATGGCATTCCTTCTAACAGAATTATTTTGGGAGGATTTTCTCAGGTAAGATAAAATTTGGATGGTATGTCTGTCTGTTCCATCTGTGTATTAATCTCAAAGTCTATGGTTTCAGTCCTTTCTCTATGGAAGAGTCCTTTTTAGGAGATGCTATAAGTTCTTGATTGATATTAATACTGGAATAAGTTTGATTAGACTGGAACTAATTTAATTTCTACTTTGTATACTTTTTTACTTTGTTTTCTGTTCTCAGCAGTAGCCTTTACTTTTATTTATAAAGTAAATTGATTGGGACCTGGAATATATTTTCTTTTTTAAACACTTTTATTTTTATTAGTACATATATGAAGTATGTAATGATTACATTCATCATGAAGAGTTGGTACATGCACATAATATATCTTCGGTTTTGTGTGTGTATGTATGATACCAGGGATCAAACTCAGAACCTTGCGCTTGCGAGGCGGGCACAGTGCCACTGAGCTAAATCCCCAGGCCAACATAATATATCTTTTTTCTTATTTTTTGGTACTGGGGATCGAACTCGGGTCCTTGTGCTTGTGCAGCAGGTGGTGAAACCACTGAGCTAATTGCCCGGCCCCCCAACATAATATATCTTAATTCTTTTTATGTCCCCTACTCCTTTCTCCCTCCCCCCCTCCCTTCATCTCTTGGCGGACCTGGGATGTATTTTCTTAAATAACTCTAATATGCTGTAGTTAATTTCTAAATTAGCACTCTCGATCCCCGTTTAATTAAACAGAACTCTTAATAACATAGGCTTAAGTTCTGTGTCTTAGGAAGAGACTAGTAATAGGAACAGTAAGGTAGATGATATAAGAGAATTTCTTCCCCTTTTGGATCATTTAAAATAGATTTTAGATGTAAACATATGATGTTTATTTTGGCATCTGTCTTCCTCTCTGTATCTTTTCTCTAATCATTTATACTTTCTCAATAATAAGTTTCTTTATAATTGATCTTGCATTTTTACTTCAGCATTTCACCTGTTTCCATGTAACCCATCTTCAGAATGCTTTAGCTTCTAATCTCTTTTAAGTCTTCCAAATAAACAACCTATTGTTTTGATGACCTTACTAAGGGAAATGTCAGAATTCTAGAATCATTTAGACAATAGAATTCAATAGAAAAGATGTTATTGATACAATACAATAAAAAAGTATTATTAATGTGGCGTTTGTTGAAGTGATTTAATATAATAGCACACATCATAACACAAACATAGGGACAGAAGGTAATACTTGATTCAAAAATTGAAAGTATCGGGCCGGGGATTTAGCTCAGTGGTTCTGCTGCCTGCCTTGCAAGCTCAAGGTCCCGAGTTCGATCCCTGATACTAAACAAAAAATTGGAAGTATGCATGGAAATTTTTATTTGAGAGTCATTGATTATAGCTTATAGAAACCAATTCCTAAAATACTTTAAACAAGAAAGAGAGCCAAGCAGAATAATGCTGCCTGTAATCCCAGCACTTTGAGGGGCTGAGGCAAGAGGATCTCAAGTTCAAACCTAGACTGGGGAACTTAGCTGAGACCCCATCTCAAAATAAATAAGGGTTGGGGATGTATTTTTTCTTTTTGGTTTTTTTTTTTTGGTACCGGAGATCGAACTCAGGTCCTTGCACTTGCTCAGCAGGTGGCAAAACCACTGAGCTAAATCCCTGGACTGGGTTGGGGATGTAGCTCAGTACAAACGCCCTGCGTTCAATCCCTAGTATAGAAAGAAGGGGGGTGCTGGGAGGGGAGAGGAGAAGAGAAAAGGAGGAAGTTATGAGTCTGTGGCCTATCAAGAAAACCATGGATGGCAATGATGCAAAGCCTCAGTAGGTAGGACTTGAAATGCCATCTGATGTTTCTCTCCATCTTCATCTCTATTTCCTTGCTCATCTGCTTTATTTGCCTCTTCAACCATTGGCCTTTTAGCTTTTACAGCCTGTACCTTTTCTAGCTGTTGGATTTACATGTTATAGTTCCAGTAAGAGAGAGACTGCCTGGCAGTCACTGAATCCCAATTCCACAGTTCTAGAAGAAAGGATATCACTGTCTGGAATGAGAAAAATTCTCATGTCCTCATGTGGCATAGTGACTCAGGGGCAGCATGGTTAGTGACAGGACATTTAGATCGCTGACATGAAAGTAGTTTCCAAGACATGGTGTTACAAGCTGGCTGAGATGATAATGTAAAGGTGTCTGCTACAGAATCCTTATTATCTTGAATTCTTATTGTAGAAAGTAATGTCAGTAGTTTGTATGTTCTTTTTGGTATAGGGAACTATGTCCTTTATGAGTGTATATTTCCAATATTTGCCTGATTTGATTGACATCAGTCAATCAGTTTGATTTTCTTATGAAATAAACCTTAATAACAAGAAATCTTTTACATTATTCTTGGCAGCGTGTGTATTCCACTGATTTTTCCCTGCTTTCTTTCCAGGGAGGAGCTTTATCTTTATACACTGCTCTAACCACCCAGCAGAAACTGGCGGGTGTCACTGCACTTAGTTGCTGGCTTCCACTTCAGTCTTCATTTCCACAGGTAGCCTGGTTGATCCCAAAACATGAGATTACTGAGCTAAAAAGTAGATAATGTTGGGAGAAGGTCATCTTTTTTAATTAATAAACTTTAGGAGTTTTTAGAGCAGTTTTAGGATTTTAGCAAAACTGGTAGAAAGTACATAGTTCCTATATCCTCATGTCCCCATGTAGCACAGCCCATCGTGGCACCTTTATTATAATGGTGAACTTGCATTGACATCATTACCAACCAAAGTCCACAGTTTACTTCAGTCACATTTTTTTTTTTTTTTTGTAAAAAACATTCTTTAGGGGCCAGGGATTTAGCTCAGTGGTGCCACCGCCTCCCTCGAAAGCACAAGGTTCCGAGTTCAATCCCCAGTACAAAAAAAAAAATTCTTTAGACTTTTGTGATATGTTATTAGGCTTTATTTATACACTATACCATCTTTATGAGTTACACAGAGTCAAACAAGAAACCTTGCGATAAATCTTGTATTTGAAGATTTGATACAGTGTAATATATATGTGAAATCGACTGTTTTTAACAAATACTTTTATAATGTTTAATATATTCAGTGTTTGGGCAGAGGGGTAGCTTAACACTGGAGTGCTAGCCTAGCATGTGTGAAGCCCTGGGGTTCAATCCCCTGTATGAGATAGGTAGGTAGATAGATATATAGATAGATAACCACTGAGCCACACCCCTAGCCTTGAATTGATTTTTAAATTTAGGGAGTTTGGGCTTGTTACTATTTCATAACTTGATGTCTTATACATAATAGGTATTGTTTATTTAATTTATTTATTTATTTTTGGTGCCGGGGATCGAACTCGGGTCCTTGCGCTTCCGAGGCAGGTGGTGGAACCACTGAGCTAAATCCCCAGCCTAGGTATTGTTTATTAACACTCTTATTATATAAAATACAAGCTGAAGAAACATGACACTGAAAGTTATTGATTACCTCCCGTAACAAAGACACTGAAGGGCCGGGGATTTACCTCAGTGGTGCTGCCACCTGCCTTGCAAATGCAAGATTCCAAGTTTGATCCCCGGTACCAAAAAAAAAAAAAGGACACTGAAAATATAAAGATGAATTAAGATATAATTGGCTTCAAGAAACAAATTCATCAGAAATGTATGTATTAATATAAGGCAAAGTAATCATATGTCCTATAGAAGTTTAAAGGGATATAAGAAATATAGGAATGGGAAATATTTTATTTCTTTGGGCAAATATAACCTCAAGTATAAATAGTGCATGTATGCACATATCTAAATATAGTTTTAAATATTCAGCATAATGCTTTATACACTTGACTAATACTAGTTTTCGGTTTTTTTGCAGGGTCCTATCAGTGGTGTTAACAAAGACATTTCTATTCTCCAGTGCCATGGAGATTGCGACCCTTTAGTTCCCCTAATGTTTGGTACCCTTACTGTTGAAAAACTAAAATCGTTGGTAAATCCAGCCAATGTAACCTTCAAAACCTATGAAAGCATGATGCATAGTTCGTGTCAACAGGTAGGTATCTGGAAGCAATGATTGCCAGAGTTGCAACTTCTTCCATGTGATTATTTTCAAGCTGAATAACATTTAACTGCTTGGTGATACAAAGGAATAAATATGAATTCATATCAAATCATAAGTTCTTAAGACTCAATGAAAGTTTATTCAATTAAATTCAACAAATATCAGATTGCTTATTATACATAATCCCTGTACATAATTCAAAGATGAGTAAATACTCTTTATTAAAAGTTAAGATACAGTTTAATAGGTGACAAAGATGTGTATACAAGTAGCTATACAGAAAACAGAATACATATATATATATATATATATATATCAGCAGTTTTTGAAACATGCCCTAAAAAACTAAGAGTGAGATTAATTTTATCTTAGGCACTGAGATCATGATGAAAGAGCTAGATTTTGAAGAATGAGTCACATTTAGATAGCAAGTATGTGGGAAAGGGACTGCTAGGCTGGAGTCTTAGGAGTCTTAGTCTAAGCTAGATGTCGTAGGATAGAAGACATAGGGATCAAGGGACTCAATTGTAGAAAGCTTTTATGTTGTGCTGAGGAGAGGGAGTTTTTCTTTAGGCAGCAGGTAGCCATCAGTGAGTTTGACTGAATTGAGTTGTGATCTAATTTATATCCTAGACAAAATGAATGAGAATCTAGTAGGATTTAGTGGTTAATTCTGTGCATGGGAACGGACGTATAAAGGCCTCAGATTTGTAGCTCAGATGACTAAGAAGTATAAGAATAGTTTTTGAGTAATAGGAAGGAGATAATATTGAGTTAAGTAAACATGATATCAAAATAGGATTTTGGAAATACTGGTCTGAATCTCAAGCCTGTAAATGGAGATTTGGAATACAGTAATCATCAAAATTGTTGATCTATGAAGAATTACGAGAACATCTTGAGTAAAAAAGCTGAGTGATAGAGCTCTGGGTGATACATTTAGATTTTGGCTAAGGAGAAAAAGAGTTAAGTGTTAAGAATATGTAAGAATTTCTTTGGGCCGGGGATTTAGCTCAGTGGTTCTGCTGCCTGCCTTGCAAGCGGAAGGACCCGAATTCGATCCCCCGTACCAGAAAAAAAAAAAAGAATATGTAAGAGAATTTCAGTAAGACTGAGCAGGGCCATGTGTTTCAGAGAAGGATTAAGTAGAAATAGCTCAAGAAGAAACTGTCCACACATGATCTTGAATCTTTGTGCTAGGAAAGGCAAACTGCAGTGAACTGTGTGGTGTGGGTAGGAAAATGAAATGGAGGAAGTGTGTATAGACCTTTTAAGAAAGGTTTTGATGGGCCGGGGATTTAGCTTTGAGCGCCTGCCTGGAAGGCACAAGGTCCTGAGTTCGATCCCAGAAGTCTTTTTAGGAGTAGGACGGAGGAAGAAGATGCAATAAGAAGATAATTGATAGAAAGTGTTGGAAGGAACATACAATAGAACAAGGACCACAGTTCGGTCATGCTACCCTAAAAAGGAGAAAATAGTCTGGAATCAGGATAGAAGAGGATGGATAAATATAAACAGGAGATAGCAAGATAGGGAAGAGAGTTCTTGGATGCTTATATTTGATGCTCTTTATCCTTCCGGTAAAGTAGGAGATGTGGTCACTTGATTAAGAATGTAGGAGGCCTGGGTAGTTTGGGGGCCTTGAAGAAGTCTAGAATAAAAATTGATTAAATTGCTAAGCAGTAAGTAGTCTAAGCCAACAGCACTGTTTTACAACCCCTCATGTGGTTAAATCATTTGCCTTAGAAGCAGAGGTGGTAATATATCCAAAAAGACAACAGGGCCTAGATCCCTAGGTTGTTTCCCTACTAAAATGAAGAACTGAAGTATTGAATCCAATAAAGGGAGGTGGGGAGGGAGCTAGCATCATGGTCACCTGGCAAGGACTGGGCAACCAGAGTGTCTCAAGTACCCTTGCATGTAGGTGAGTGCTGTGGGATCCCACTTGAGGACGTGAGTGAATGAGCAGGAGCAGAAAGTGAGGCGTGGTAAGATGGGAGAGGTGGTGTCACAGGAAACTGTCAGGACTTCAGGGTGTTGTAAAGTGAGACACTTTCATGCTGAGGCTCTTTTCTGGGAAACTAAAAGTTTGAAGAATCTGCATGGCTAAATTGTGGCTGGTGAGGCTTGAAATACAAGAGCTGATGGTGGGAGGTAAGAAAACTGAGCTTGATACAGGAATTTTCCAAGAGCAAGTTTATTCTTTAATCCTTGGTGTATTCATGTTCACATCTTTCCAGTGCTCCCTGAGGTTCATGATGAAAGGCACAAAATAGGAATTTAGCATTTTATTCTAATGAGAAGCTAGGCATTTTACTGTCATTTAGTTGTCAGTAATTGTGTACTTAATGAGACTTCTCAGTATAGGTACTGTCACTTCTATACTTCCTCACTCTCCAGTGTTTTATATAAGTATGGGAAAATGCATGCCATTTTCATGGAACTAGATAATAGTGGGAGTTATTTCTCATCATAGAGAATATTCTGAAATTTCTATTGGAGCCTTATTTTTGTCTTTTTATTGTAGTAATAAAAATGTGGTTTCACTTCATGTACACCACATGGATTTTGCTAATGACGTTTTACTGGGGATTTAATTTCTGACATATGTAGTTGTTTATTAAATCACTTTATTCCAAACAGGAAATGATGGATGTCAAGCAATTCATTGATAAACTCCTACCTCCAATTGATTGATGACACTAAGAGGCCTTGTGTAGAAGTACACCAGCAGCATTGTAGTAGAGTCTAAACTTTTTCCCATGCCCAATCTTAAAACTTCTAATGTTTGCAGTGTTAAAATGTTTTCTAAATTTACATCGGTGATATATAATAAATAACGTTTCCTTGTGGGAAATTTATGATCTTTTAAGTTTCTATACATGTATTTGTATAATGTGATCCAGAATATACCAGTATTAAAATAGGTGAGACAGGACCGGGGATTTAGCTCAGTGATTCCACCGCCTGCCTCGCAAGCGGAAGGTCCTGAGTTCGATCCCCAGTACCAAAAAAAAAAAAATAGGTGAGACAGCTAGGTTCTTTTTCTCAAATATAATTGCAAAATAATAAAATACTGCAATAAAATTTTTTTATTACATCATTTCAAAATTACCAGTATGCTAATGATAATTTGTTCAGGTAAAATGAACAGTTTAGGTATAAATGATTTATGCATGCTGTGACATAGTCTATGGATTTATTCCAAAATTGCTTAGTCACCATGCAATGTCTGCATTTTTCTATATATGTTCATTATACAAAATGATTGTAATACATAAGAATTAGATGTTATTACATTATTCTTTTTTTTTTAATTCTTTTATTGGTACATTTTAGGTATACAACACA